CATAAATGGTGTACCAACAAGAGCAACGGATTTTGATTTTTTTCAATAAAGTGATTTTTTTAACAATTGTCACGTACATAACATGCGATTTAAGAATATGGAGAAGTATTCAAGCTATTGTAAAAAAGCATTTCAAAAATGGTGAGAGTTTCACGAAAACAGTTTGCCAATTACGTAAAGTTTTCAGTCGCAATAATGCGCCGAACGAATCGACAGTAATAACCAAACAATTCGTGTCGGAGATAAGCCCTTTGAATGGATCAGACTGTCGTGTTTAGCAGATCCGCGATTTGAAGGGAAAATAACCCTTGTTCCCTCATTTGTGGAATCAGTTCCAACTGGTCGGGCGTTAGATGCGGCATCGAAACTATCAAAATCTGTTTATGATTCGAAAACGACATCTAACCTGACTTGTCAGTCACTTACTGTGATTCTTGTAACGTTGGTTACGGGCCATGCATTACAGAGGAGAAATGGTCTGATGTTTTTGCAAGAACATGTTTCAATTGTGTTTTCTCACGCACATTCTCGAGTACTGAGAGCGAGGAAAATATTGACGCATCCAGAATGAATTGTTTTTCCGAGAACAAGTTGATTTTCATTCAATTTTCCTCCCAACCGAGATTCGGAGGGCGTTCCAGATTTGGGTCACTTTCAAGAAAACTCTAGATCTTTGATAGCCATCTTGAGTCAATTCTGATATTCAGATCTCTTCATCTTCAAAATGAGCCTAAGATTTCCAAAATCGGTTGACGTGGAAAAAAGTTATGACTTCAAAACCAAAAAGTTGATTTTTTGAGATCACTCTGTAAATAAGAGAGATAGGTAGTTGATTCGGGAAATATCTCGAGGTAATGAGATCATCTTCATGCCTCTGTTGTCGAAGTTGAAAACAAAATTTTTTTCACCATTTGAGAGCCTTTTGAATATTCCGAAATTTGTTTGAAACTGAAAAAAGTTATTCACATTATAACAGGGGCGACATTTTGGTATGCGACGAAATTAGTGTTGAGTAGTTTATATAAAAAACTGTTCTTTGTAGAAATTGTCATTCAAAATATGCTTCTGCTGATGATGGACTATTGATAGGCCAAAACATGTACAGTGTGTCCAGTTTTCGATGATTTTGCATGATATCTCAGTTATCTTTGGAGAAAGAACCATGCGGTTTTCGCGTGCCTGTGCCACTTTTTTGTGAAACTCAAGATGGCCCAATCAGATTTTGCAGGACTGTTTCCGTTCATGAGATATGAGATACAGAGCGATTTTGAAAATTTATACTTTTTGGACCCCCTCTATATCTACGAAGTTTATCAGCGAAAATGTCAAATTGAAATCTGAACCCATAGGAAATTTTTTGCAGAATCCAGTGGCGCACAAAACATTTTTTTCGGGGTATGGTTTTGAAGATACGACTCAAACTTATGATTTTTTTGAATTGAACACCCTGTATTTTATAAGCTCATTGAATTCCTTTTTTTTTTTCCTTCGAAATGATATATGATGTATGAATATAAAATTTTCAAAAATGTCCAAAAATCACTGAAACATTGAATTTTAATAGTGGGCTATGGGTTTTTCGCGGGATTTTCATATAAAGAAATCTACAATTGAAGGAATATTTCCTTTGATTGTTCCATGAAGGGGGAAATAACAATTTCAACACTAATTAACTTGCAAAACACAAGACTTAGATACCTGATATCCACAAATACCGGGTGACACAGGGTATCGGGCCACCCCTGTAACTTCTGCATTCGTCAACGGATTTTTCTGAAATTCGGTACAGTTATATATAAGCAATTATTTCGGATTTGATAACATTACAATCCAATATGGCGGACTTCCGGTATTTCTGGAAATGCCAGCAACTTTGTTTTTTCAAATGAAACACCCTGTATATTTTCACATATTCAAGTTCAACAGGTCGAAACAAGGGCAATCTTTATTTCAAATGTCATTTTTTCTAAAAAATTTAAATTAAAATTGTTTTTTCATTTTACCTCGTGGATGAATGAGATGTGGTCAAGACTATCCACAATGAGTCACACATAACAGAAGAACATAATTTTTTCAGAAAATTTATTTTTTGTGTCACTTATCCAGGAATCAATTCAACCACATCACTTTTTGATCAAAAATTATTTTTTTTCAAATGGAACCCCTATGGGCCACTTACCCGTCTCTCTAGAACATACATTAAGGAACAAAATGACATATCATTTTTGTTTTTCGGTGCAGTAACAAATTGTATACATTCAAAAATCAACAACTAGTTTATGAATTTCCTTGCAGTTCGAATAATTTTTCAACTAGGTTGGCTGTGGAATAAATGACATATGACATTTGACATCAAGATTGCACTTGTTTTGACCTGTTGAACTTGAATATGTGAAAATATACAGGGTGTTCCATTTGAAAAAACAAAATTGCTGGCATTTCCAGAAAAACCGGAAGTCCGCCATATTAGATTGTGATGTGATCAAATCCGAAATAGTTGCTTATATTACTGTACAGAATTTCAGAAAAATCCGTTGACGAATGCAGAAGTTACAGGGGTGGCCCGATAACCTGTGTCACCCGGTATATAGTAATAAAGAGTTTATAATGTAGAATAAGCACCTGATTGAATATTCACTAAAACAATTGAATTTCGAAATTATGCAGTGATTTATTCATTGAATTGTTCAAGTTGATGTCCATTTTCCATCACAAACTTTCTCAATACATATTAATCATTGAAATATGTCTTTGTAATTCCTGGAAAACTGCCTCTGTTGTTGTACAAAGTTCTTCAAGTATGTTGGGCCACTCACTGTATCAAGAAGTATTAAGAAAGTTTGTCAACTGTATGTTAGGGAAAATGGATGTCAATTTGAACATGTCAATGAATAAGTTACTGAATAATTCCGGAATTCAATTGTTTTAGTAATTATTTGATTAGGTGCTTATTCTACATTATGAACTTTTTATTACTATTTATTTGTTGCTATCAGGTACCCAAGTTTAGTGTGTTGTTGATTGATAAGTGTTGATATTGGTTTTGATCTCTCCATGGAAAAATTTAAAGAAATATTTCTTCAATTGGAACGTTTTTTATAAGAAGAATCCATAACCAACTATCAAAATTCAATATTTTAGTGATTTTGAGCAATTTTAAAAATTTTATATGCATTCGTTATATATCATTTTGAAGACAAAATAATAAGGAATTTAATGAGCTTATGAAATACAGGGTGTTCCATTTAAAAAATCATAAGTTTGAGTCGTATCTCCAAAACCATACCCCGAAAAAAAAATTTAAGTGCGCCACTGGATTATGCGTGATATTCTCTATGCGATAAGATTTTGATTTGACATTTTTGTAGAGAAACTTCGTGGATATAGAGGGGGTCCAAAAAGTATAATTTTTCAAAATCCTGTATCTCATAAACGGAAACAGTCTTGCAAAATATGATTAGGCCATCTTGAGTTTCACAAAAAAGAGGCACAGGACCGCGAAAACCGCAAGGTTCTATCTCCAGAGATAACTGAGATATCAGGCAAAAGCATCGAAAACTGGACACACTGTACAGACACTGATTATTCAGTTAATTTTGTGGAAATGACTTATATTTATGAAAAAAGAGAGTGCCTGCTCGATAGAATCATAAGAGATGCATATCAAATAAGGCCTAAGAGGATCGCTAACACGAATCATCACAGGGTGTGCAACATTCAGTGGCACACTTTTCAAATTTCGAAGCACTATATTTTTCTTATTTCAAATTGGAGCCCTTGTATATTTTCATGTCATTCGGTGCCTGAATGAAAAACAAACTTTTTTTCTTATTATAACCCCATCGAAATTCTCATCATATCAAAAGTTATTTGCCGAAAACTCGTTTCATCAACTATTCTGATAGTGATTTGAATAAATAAAAAACACTCTCATGAAGTGTCAGGAGTCTATTTGGGCTTGAGTAGTTCAATTCAGTAGGTACATTGTTAGCTCATCATCATACATGTTTTGAGCTGTTTATAACGAAATATTGTTTTTTGTCATGGAGTACAACCAAGAAGAGCTCGTAGATATGATTTTAATATTAGGAGAGAGTAGGACAATCTCTTTTTTGGCAAGTCGAGTTTATGCACAACGTTATCTGGAACGACGTCATCCAGACAAAAGCAGCCTGCAAAATGTAAAATATAAAGCTAAAGTTGAACTTTAGCTCCTAGGATCTGGAGATATAAATGCACCTTAGTATAGTCTTTGAGTATTCACACTAGTGTATTCAATCAAGGGTATAGTTGAGTATTTTTGTTTTGATCAGGAAAGCCTTCAAGATTCACATACTTGCTTGATTTGTATTTCATTCGTTATTTTCGGGATGGATAACTTGTTTTTGAATAATCACGGCCAGCAATAGTTTTTTGTCTCAAACAACGATATTATTATTGTTGATATTATGCTCACTAACCTAACATTTTCCACGTCTTGTTTCGCTTTCGCTAAACGCTCCGCCTCGCAAATGCAAAATTCGCTTGTCAAACGAAGTGTCACTTTTGATCCTAATAAAACCATCTACTATTCATTCTATTTGAGGGGGGTCTTCAATGAAGGCCATTGATGTTTGTGAACGTATGCATCAGCACTGACCCAGCACAAGTTTCGACTTTCGGGGCATTGGTCCAGTGCTGGGACCAACGAAAAAAAAAAAAAAGAAATGGGCCAAAGTGTATCTCATGTATGTGGAAAACTGGAGGTTACAGACTAACAAAGCTCTGCATGTAGTTCTCTTGCCTATGTGATTGATTTATATAAATTAATTGTATCATGTTTGGAGCATACGTATAGTTAAATGTACCAAATTTCTATTAGAGATGAGCCATATCATGGAGGACGGGAACACCAGGCGAAAAAAAAACTGGAATATATGATGATTTCTTCTTATATCTTCGCTCTTTCATGAAAGCGGCTTTTTTAGATCCGCAGAATTATTCCTAATAATTCTCCTTACCTTGTCTCACAGCAAAAGTCTGGTAAAATTGTGACAAGTACGTCAGTATCGATAGACGATCCGGCACTGAATACTCCACCATGTCTTCTGGTTCCAAAAGGGCTGGAATCCCAAGGTACTGTTCTGCAACTCTGAAGGCTAATTCGTTGTTATGGTATACGTCGTCTTTGTTTAATTTGGCAAAGTCACTGGAAAAAATAAGAGTAATGTCAAAATGGTTCGTATACAGATGACGACAACACGAGCAAAAACATAATATTAGGTGAATAGTTTTCAACGCTCTTTCTTTCAGTATCACCAGGAGTAACACATCATGATATTTCTTCTATATACTCAATTTGACTGATACTAAAAATGTTAGTTTGAATAGTTCAGTGGATTTCCCACCTCTATATTTAGTTTCTTCCCTCGTGTCTTGCCATCTCTAGTATCTCTTTCAGTTCTGTTGTCGAGCTCTTTGACTTTCTATGGCTTAGGTTCATTCGGATTCCGATCAAGAACTGTTCAAAATCGTTCTCGAACTGCGCAGAACTAGTGCGTTTCAACTCCTAGGACTGTTTCAGAACGGTTCACAAATTATCAAATTATGAAAACCCGAACGCGGCACCATGGCAGAAGATAACCTCTGAGAACATAACCTCTATTGAGAATTTGCGAAACAATAATAGTTTTAAACCTGTATCTTTATTGGAATAATATTCTGGAGCTTCAAATTCTCCTCTAAGTCTATTCACAATATCTCTGGAAACCCTCCGTGAAGGAATGATAAATATATTCCATTATAGCATTTGTAGCTAGATTTTTCACATGTTTTGTCCTTTCAACCTACATGAATTTCGACACCCACCTGAAATGTTCAATAAATTGTGTATATGAATATAATGGCAACGTCTCCTCAAAGCCTCAACAATATTTTCAGCAACTTCATCAAGGAACTCCTTTACCACTTTTCAGGACATAGTTGCCTAGCACGATTGGTCATCGATTTGCTTGCCATCATGGAAACCCGAGTGGAAACCCTTTTAAAATAATTAATTTTATATTCGTTTTATTCCAAACATAATTTTTATATAAAAAAAGATTGTTTAATAACTGAGTAGTGACCAGTCAAGATTCATTCCTGGGAGGGAGGGGGGAGGGGGACCATAGTCCCAATATCCAATATTTAGGAAAAAGAAAAGCAAGCATTACGTTGTTTTTTATAAATGTGTGCAATATTTGGTAACAATAACAAAATAAACATAAATGTATTGAAAACTTAATCAAATGATAGCACATATCAACAGGTACAGACATTGAAATAGGATAAAAAAAAACAAAATAACAAAAATTGAAAATTTGACTCTGTCTGTGCTGTTTCCTCTTTCGCGTTGGCGCCGTAACCACGTATCTGCTTATCTACTAATAAAATCCCGTGACTCTAGTATCTACCAACAAGAGAATTACCAATATTACATCCTAATCGCATCGCAGGACAGGCAGGAAGAATATCCATATTTACATATGGTTCTAAGTAGGGTTCTAACCCACGATAATCGTTCGGACGTTCTAACAAATTACAAATTGAATTCCTGTGATATTGCCTATACTCATGTATATTTTTTCACTTTTAGAATTGTTTATCAGATTGTTTCGGTTGTTCAATCAGCTCCCATGGACCCCCCTTAATTATTATTAAAGACAAGACAAGAAATACCTAATATCAATATATTTTTTCTCCTGATGTTCGGAAAGGAGAAATCGGGAGAAACATACAAAAATTATTGTGGTATACCACAATAATTTTCCTATAGGTATATACCTATAGGATTCTCAAATTCGCATGAATGCGAGAGAGATATATACAGGGTGTTTCAGACTTAAATGTACATACGATACTGGCAGTTAGAGGACACTTTGACGGTTTCAAATCACCCCCATTGATATGTTTACCGTCTTTTATAACTGAGATACAGGACGTTATCTTGATTTTGGCAAAATATTCATCTGGTAATAATTTTTGAACCACGTTGTATAATCTATTCATACTTGGTAGAAATATTTCACATATATTACACATCAAAACCAAATAAAAATTGAGATCAGAATCCAGGTCCGTCTTAAGGAAAAACAGAAAACTTGTTTATTTCAAAAACAATCACTCTGTATGGCAAAATTTTGTGGATCTGTTTTGATATTTGGAAATAGCAGGAAAAAATTAATGAAGTGACCTACTTATAACAAGCGCGCATCCAATTTGAGTGAAGAAAAAAATATTTGTAGTAAACGAAGGTAAACCAGAATCTTCTCAATTCAAGGTTGCATAAATACATACAGAATGCTGACATCTGAATCATACGATTGTTGGGTGAAACATCGAATCATTCAATGATTTTCTCCTATTTCCAAATACGGTAACATCTCAAGACCGCTTGTTTTCCTATATTTCTATATTTGGTCGCCAATTTGGAGTGCACGGAAGAGGAAATGAAAAGAATAAGTACAAGGAATTAGTATATAGAAGTAGAAAACCTACCAATTAGAGTAATGAAGTCGACGATCCAGTCGACGACATGTGAATAAAGTTACAGTGTATGTACATGGTATGTACAGATCGCTCAAACTGCCTCCATAGTGAAGAATAAAACAAGCCCCCAAAAATTTCCAAAACCACAGACGTTATTCTGTCGAACGAACAGATTTATCTATTTCACCCCAATGATGTTAAACTTCGAAGGACGTTATTATTTTGTGAAATAATTGGATTTTGAATTACGAGTTCAATAAAAATGACTCAAAATGGAGCCGAGTATATCAGAAAATAATAATAAAACATCTGTTAAATCGGATGCGCGGTCGTAAAGAGTAGGTCACTACTTTTTCACCACGTACAAGCAGCATTTGCTGCTTCTGTGGGTTTTCTAATGTTTATTTACCTGATGTTAACTTGATATCATAATTTCTTCCAATGTATTCTGATTCTGTCGAAATAAACATTATTATTATTATATATTATTATTATTCGTTTTTCCCTGCTCTTTTGAAATATTGAAACATATCTAAGAAAATTTGCCATACAGAGTGTTGTTTTTGATATAAAAGAAGTTTTCTGTTTTTTTCTCAAGACGGACCTGGATTCTGATCCCGATTTTCATTTATTTTTGATGGGTAATATGAATGAAATAGTTCTACCAAGTATGGATAGATTATACATAGTGGTTCAAAAGCTATGACCAGATGATAATTTTGCCAAAATCAAGATATCGTCCTGTATCTCAGTTATAAAAAACGGTAGACACATCGAAGGGGGGTGATTTGGAACCATCACAGTGTCCCCTATCTACAGGTATCGTATGTACATTTAAATCTGAAACACCCTGTATAGTAAAGATACATTCAGTTACTACGGATAAAAGTTTTCCACAAAATAATCGTATGCAATAAACTTAACTTACATTGACTTGCCTTACTTTTATATCCCCCTTCCGAACCTGAAGCTTTAAAATTACCTGTGGAAAGGTTGGCTAAGCCATCCTTGGGCTATTTATTATTCTTGGGCTAAACCTTCATTTTCGAGAAGTAGGCACAATCTACATTGATATTCGGAGTACCTACCGGATTAACTTTGAAGGGATAGCACATAATATTACCTATGAAGGAAGCAAATTCAACAGCTGTGAATTATTGAGGTCTAGTTGATCATTAAGTAAAATGTTAAAATTTTTGCGTTTGTTGATTTCTCATGATTCTAAATGATTGAGTTTTATTCTTTTATTTTATACTAGTGAAATTTCGAAATTATCATCAAAACTATGGTTTTCATCTAATATATGGTTCGCGTATGTTGAATTTGTTTTCTTTTTCAAAACATGCATCTTATGTTCATGAATGCAGTGATTGAACGTTCGACCTGTCTGACAGATATACGTCGGAGCTCGATTGCTGGAGTTCTATGACAGCTAGAAACTTGATTCAAAAGCAAATGTGATTGGAAAAACAAAGGATGCACCGAAATTATCATCGAAACTATGGTTTTCTTCTAGTATATGGTTAGCGTATGTTGAATTTGTTTTCTTTTTCAAAAAATGCATCTTATGTTCATAAATGCAGTGATTAAACGTTGGACCTGTCTGATGAGCTCAATCTAGAGGGTTGGAATATTTTTGAATGGAATGACTTTTATATCAGCACATTTTTTGAAGCATCCTTTTGATCATCCTCCACTCCTTGACTTTTTTGTCGAAATGATATCATCTGCAGATGCATACCGAAAATATCTCAGTCGTCACAATTATCTCGATTTTTTTATATGGAACACCCCATATATTTTTTGGTCATTTGATGTAAAATCAAAAAATCGAACATATTTTATATCAACATCCGTATTGATATTCGTGACCATTTTCGAATTATTGAAGTTTGAAAATTTTAGGTTTTCCATTGTCATCAATACACATTCTTATCAGTTATTAAAACATCAAGTGTCCAATCAATAATTTAGTGAGCCAGTTTTTTTATTGAAAGAATTGATAACAGAATCGAAGCAATCTGAAATAGTTCATATATGAATCGCCCTGTATACCTTAGGACAAGATCAACAGTTAAGTTTGTACACCAGAGATTTATCAAATTCAGAAGTTTTGCGTTTATTATTTTTGAGAAAACCATCCCAACGTGTTATTTGTTCGATAGGCAACTTGTTAGTGTTGTTTATGTAGAAATGAAGCTATTTTTTCAGATGATCCAAAATAGTGAAGTTCTCTAATTTTGATTATTGCACTTTGATGGTGGGAAGAAATTCATGAAAAAAGCAAATTCAGGTATCCACTTTTCACTTTATACATTATTTCGACAGACAATTAAACTGAAATTCAACAAAAATAAAGAAACTTTTACTGTCTGCTCCGAGGTCTGCTCATAAGGCTTAATGCTCGGGCTTAGGCGAGGGGTTAATCTCCAGGAGAAATGTGTACACCAGACTTCCAATGAACAGAGACTTCCAAAGACTTCCAAAGACTACCAAAGACTTCCAATGACTTCCAAAGACTTCCAAAGACTTCCAAAGACTTCCAAAGACTTCCAAAGACTTCCAGACTTCCAAAGACTTCCAAAGACTTCCAAAGACTCCCAATGACTTCCAATGACTTTCAGCTACTACCAAAGACTTTGAGCTAATTCCAATAAATTCCATTGATTTTCGAAGCCTTCT